ATTGGGCAATGACAAGAATTTCCTCTTACTCCACAAAATGTTCGATCACCAACCTAAGAAACTCTCCAGATAGAAGTAGACACTAAGATGCCACAACACACAGCACGCCATATTTCAACACAGAATGCAACACCCTGACCCACTGACGCTCCGCTCCAAACAACCCTGACCCACTGACGCCTCTGCTCCAAACACCCTGACCCACTGACACTCCGCTCCAAACAACCTGACCCACTGACGCTTCCGCTTCCAAACAACCTGACCCACTGAAGCTCCGCTCCAAACAACCTGACCCACTGACGCCCTGCTCCAAACAACCTGACCCACTGACGCTCCGCTCCAAACAACCTGACCCACTGACACTCTGCTCCAAACAACCTGACCCACTGACGCTTCGCTTCAAACAACCTGACCCACTGACGCTCTGCTCCAAACACCCTGACCCACTGACGCTCCGCTCCAAACAACCTGACCCACTGATGCCCTGCTCCAAACAACCTGACCCACTGACGCTTCTCTCCAAACACCCTGAACCACTGACGCTTCGCTCCAAACACCCATGACCCACTGACACTCCCGTCCACAAACAACCTGACCCACGGAAGCTCCGCTCCAAACAGCCCTGACCCACTGAACGCTACCGCTCCAAACAACCTGACCCACTGACGCTCCCGCGCCAAACAACCTGACCCACTGACACTCGGCTCCAAACAAACCTTGACCCCACTGACGCTTCCGCTCCAAACACCCATGACCCACTGACGCCCCTGCTCCAAACCAACCTGAACCCCACTGACGCTGCCAGCTCCAAACAACATGATCACTGACGCCTCCGCTCCAACACCCTGACCCCACTGATGCGCTGCTTCCAAACAACCTGACCCACTGATGCTCTGCTCCAAACACCCTGACCCACTGACGTCCGCTCCAAACAACCTGACCCACTGACGCTCCGCTCCAAACACCCTGACCCACTGACGCCCTGCTCCAAACACCCTGACCCACTGACGCTCCGCTCCAAACAACCTGACCCACTGACGCCCTGCTCCAAACACCCTGACCCACTGACGCCCTGCTCCAAACACCCTGACCCACTGAAGCTCCGCTCCAAACACCCTGACCCACTGATGCTCTGCTCCAAACAACCTGACCCACTGACGCCCTGCTCCAAACAATCTGACCCACTGACGTTCCGCTCCAAACAACTTGACCCACTGACACTTCGCTCCAAACAACCTGACCCACTGACGCCCTGCTCCAAACACCCTGACCCACTGAAGCTCCGCTCCAAACACCCTGACCCACTGACGCCCTGCTCCAAACAACCTGACCCACTGATGCTCCGCTCCAAACAACCTGACCCACTGATGCTCTGCTCCAAACAACCTGACCCACTGACGCCCTGCTCCAAACAACCTGACCCACTGACGCTCCGCTCCAAACAACCTGACCCACTGACGCTCCGCTCCAAACACCCTGACCCACTGACAACCTTCGGCACCTCCAATAATATCACTCAGTACTGCCACACACAGGCTTGCTGATCCAGCAGCATTACAGTATCCCGAAAGATCATTGATTTTATTTATTTATCTTTTTTGGAAGTACATACCGTAACGGCAGTAGTGACGACAGTTGCTCTGTGGAACTCTATATTTTGGTGAGTACCGAACATATTTTGACATTATAACACTTGCAGAGCTGGTTAACGGGACTTTGAATTGAAGGATCCTGGGCATCAAAGGAGATCTTAACATATTCATCATCTCCTCAAGCCCAGGTACTGGTTCAGGTTAGGGTTAGACCCATCAGTCAGCCCACAGTCAGGGTTAGGGTTAGACCCAGCAGTCGGGGCAAGGCAAGCAGGGCCAGAGAATGATGACAGGTCACTCCCCAACCCCCCAGCACCACATAAACAAACACAAACTCACCCTCTCACAGGCAAACACAGCCCTCAAACACAACCCTCTGTCCCCTACATCCACAGCAGGGTGGTGACCTTTCCCCTGCATCCACAGCAGGGTGGTGACCTGTGCCCTGCATCCACAGCAGGGTGGTGACCTGTGCCCTGCATCCACAGCAGGGTGGTGACCTGCCCACTGCATCCACAGCAGGGTGGTGACCTGTGCCCTGCATCCACAGCAGGGTGGTGACCTGTCCACTGCATCCACAGCAGGGTGGTGACCTGTCCACTGCATCCACAGCAGGGTGGTGACCTGTCCCCTGCATCCACAGCAGGGTGGTGACCTGTCCCCTACATCCACACCAGGGTGGTGACCTGTCCACTGCATCCACAGCAGGGTGGTGACCTGTCCCCTGCATCCAAGGTGGTGACCTGTCCCCTACATCCACACCAGGGTGGTGACATTTACCTCCCCCTCACATGACAATCAGCCCATTTTCAGTCATTATTTACATCCAACTCACTCTGACCGTCCACCTCTGCCTGAACTGGGGACCTGGAGAGAGTTCACAAGGGGAAGAGTAAAGACACCAATACATCACTAATGCGAGACATGGGAGAAAGTCAGAGAGACATTAAAACATAAGAGCACGATATTTATCTTCTAACAACAATATCTGAGACTACAGATGTATGGGTCAAACATCATGCCATAAAGAAAAATAGCACAAATGAAGTTCCTTTAAGGAAAATGTTACTTATGGCTATGTAAACTCAACATAGTCCACAGATTTCTCTTTTTTAGCCACAAAACTCCACTAAAACAGAAAACACTACTTGTTTAACAACTAAAACCAGTTTATTACACTTTAGCAACAGCATTTCACTCACAGCGTCAGCGCCATTTGAAGTTCGAAGTTCTCCTTCAAATGAAAAGCACCTGCAGACAGTGGACAACAAAACATTCCCAGTGTCCATTGTTGTCTTCAGTGAACCCCATCACCCCTGAAGTTCCACTCTGCCTAACAGATGGGCCAAGATCTTTAATTACAAGCCTAGTAGCCTACCAGAGGTTTCACCTCAAGCTGCTTAAGTCTACTGACTACAGAAGACTACTTCAGCCGTAGACAGCTATGCATCGGGAACTGGCCTTTGTGTTATGATCATAATTGACATCCAATATTTTCTTCTGCTAATAGAAATAGGCATCTCTGGCTAGGTCCCTCACAAGGTGGCTACTAAAGTGTGAAATGTACAGTATTCCTGAGCCCTCATTTGACCAGGGCCAATCAAAATTAGTGCACTATCTAGGGAATAGGGTGCCATTTGGGACTCGGATATGGTCATGGAGGTGAGCACTCAGCACTGCTCATTTTCTAATAGAGCAGAGCAGCGAGAGATAGCTACACAACAGAGAGATAGCTACACAACAGAGAGATAGCTACACAACAGCGAGATGGCTACACAACAGAGAGAGATAGCTACATAACAGAGAGATAGCTACACAACAGCGAGATGGCTACATAACAGAGAGAGATAGCTACATAACAGAGAGATAGCTACACAACAGAGAGATAGCTATACAACAGAGAGATAGCTACATAACAGAGAGATAGCTACACAACAGCGAGATGGCTACATAACAGAGAGATAGCTACACAACAGAGAGATAGCTATACAACAGAGAGATAGCTACACAACAGAGAGATAGCTACACAACAGCGAGATGGCTACATAACAGAGAGAGATAGCTACATAACAGAGAGATAGCTACACAACAGCGAGATGGCTACATAACAGAGAGATAGCTACATAACAGAGAGATAGCTACACAACAGCGAGATGGCTACATAACAGAGAGATAGCTACACAACAGAGAGATAGCTACACAACAGAGAGATAGCTACACAACAGAGAGATAGCTACACAACAGAGAGACAGCTACACAACAGGGAGATAGCTACACAACAGAGAGATAGCTTTGTAGCCTGGCGGGTAGGAGCGTTGGGCCAGTAACCAAAAGGTTGCTGGATCGAATCCCAGAGCTTAGAAGGTAAAAATCTGTTGTTCTGAGCAAGGCAGTTAACCCACTGTTCCCCTGGCGCCGATGACAAGGACGTCGATTAAGGCAGCTCCCCTGATTCAGAGGGGTTGTGTTAAATGAGAAAGACACATTTCAGTTGAATGTTTTCAGTTGTACAACTGAGTAGGTATCCCCCTTTCTCTAACAGAGTGATAGCTACATACCAGAGAGATACCTCTTTAAAGAATACCTGGAATAGTATAAAGTCATCCTTCTACCCTCCCCCACCCCCCCATGAAAAAAAGAAGAACAAAAGTGGTTGTCCCACTTGCTATCATAAGTTGAATGCACCAATTTGTAAGTCGCTCTGGATAAGAGCGTCTGCTAAATGATGTAAACGGAGAGATAGCTACATAACAGAGAGATAGCTAAATAACAGAGAGATAGCTACATAACAGAGAGATAGCTACATAACAGAGAGATAGCTACACAACAGAGAGATAGCTACATAACAGAGAGATAGCTACATAACAGAGAGATAGCTACATAACAGAGAGATAGCTACATAACAGAGAGATAGCTACATAACAGAGAGATAGCTACATAACAGAGAGATAGCTACATAACAGAGAGATAGCTACACAACAGAGAGATAGCTACATAACAGAGAGATAGCTACATAACAGAGAGATAGCTACATAACAGAGAGATAGCTACACAACAGAGAGATAGCTACATAACAGAGAGATAGCTACATAACAGAGAGATAGCTACATAACAGAGAGATAGCTACATAACAGAGAGATAGCTACATAACAGAGAGATAGCTACATAACAGAGAGACAGCTACACTAGCTACCCAACAGAGAGGATTGCTGTGGCTGATTAGTACCATTTATGATGTGCAGGTGCCACTCCTCCAAAGTCATAAATACAGTGTGTGATCATATACATTTATTGTACAGTGAATCATTTTAGAGTAAAGCCTCTGCTACGGGTTCTGGTTGTTTGATGTACCAACAAATGAGACGTTTGAGACTTTTCTTGCATTCTAATCCAACGGAACAAAAAACATTACATTACAGCTGCATCGTTCACATTCTAAAGACACACCATAACGTATAAGCCAATAAACTTTCAGCGCATACTTATTTTATTCATAGTTTTTTTAAAATGAACACCCTGGTTCTAATAATTAATGCACTGTATATCACACATCCTCCTGCATGCTTGTCTCCACGTCAATGAGTCATCAAGTCGCACACAACCGGAGCTCACTACATATCAACAAAGATGAACTGCAACTACAACTCTGGTTCTGGATTCCTCTAAAGTCAACAAGGACAAAGATACACGGAACAAAAATATAAACACAACATGCAACAATTTCAACGACTTTACTGAGTTACACTTCATGTAAGGAAATCGGTAAATTGAAATAAATTCATTAGGCCCTAATTTATGGATTTCACATGACTGGGAATACAGATATGCATCTGTTGGTCACAGATACCTATTTAAAAAAGTAGGGGCGTGGATCAGAAAACCAGTCAGTATCTGGTGTGACCACCATTTGCATCATGCAGCGCAACACATCTCCTTCACAAAGAGTTGATCAGGCTGTTGATTGTGGCCTGTGGAATGTTGTCCCACTCCTCTTCAATGGCTGTGCGAAGTTGCTGGAACACGCTGTTCATACATGTCGCTCCAGAGCATCCCAAACATGCTTAATGGGTGACATGTCTGGTGATTATGCAGGTCACGGAAGAGTTGGAACATTTTCAGCTTCCAGGAATTGTGTTCAGATATTTGTGACATGGGGCCGTGCATGATCATGCTGAAACATGAGGTGATGGCGGCGAATGAATGGCACGTCAATGGGCCTCAGGATGGCATCTCGTCACGGCATCTCTGTGCATTCAAATTGCCATTGATAAAATGCAATTGTGTTCGTTGTCCGTAGCTTATGCCTGCCCATACCATAACCCCACCGCCACCATGGGACACTCTGTTCACAACATTAACATGAGCAAACCGCTCGCCCACACAACGCCATACACGCTGTCTGCCATCTGCCACGGTACAGTTGAAACTGGCATTCATCTGTGAAGAGCACACTTCTCCAGTGTGCCAGTGGCCATCGAAACTGCACATTTTAGAGTGGCCATTTATTGTCCCCGACAAAAGGAGCACCTGTGTAATAATCATGCTGTTTAATCAGCTTCTTGATATGCCACACCTGTCAGGTGGATGGATTATCTTGGCAAAGGAGAAACGCTCACTAACAGGGATGTACACAAATTTGTGTACAACATTTAAGAGAAATAAGCTTTTTGTGTGTATGGAACATTTCTGGGATATTTTACTTTCAGCTCATGAAACGTTGGACCAACACTTTACATGTTGTGTTTATATTTTTGTTCAGTGTATTTTAATATATATATTTTTTTACTCCCACATACACTGTACTGCAGATTTGAGTCATTGGAGTTCCAGGCTTATATGCGCTATGCTTAATTAACCTGGGGGGACAAGGTTAACATCACCATGTTACACCAACCAAGCAGAATGTACAGCACAGCGTTCTATCCAACATCGTGTCTTTACCTGGAAGACGTCCTCATCGAGGATCCTGGTTCCGAACACGGTGATGCCGTTGGTGTTGATGGATGCACGGTCACTCCGGAGGAGGGGTTTGGTGATCTTCTGTTGACAGTCCACCATGATGGTGACCCTCTGCTTTTCCACACTGATGGCCACACGATGCCACCTGTTAGAGGGGACAAGAGAAAACACAGAGATACGTGGTGAGATACATTCGGATTGGACTGCTGCAAAAAAAACCTAGCCTGCTTAAACCAGACTGAATGCTGCGCTCACCCATTCAAACAGTGAAGTCATTTGTAGCGTTGAGTCTGTTTTAACCAGACTAACAAAAACCTCCACAAAAAACAGACATTTGTGCGTTTCAATGGCACCCTATTCCCTATTCCTGACTGGGATCCATAGCACTATATAGGGAATAGTGTGCCATTTAGGACGCAAAAAAAGGGTTACCCGGCGTGGTCACACATGCACCCAACACCTCCCGAGCCCCCTCCAGGACATTCTGGCCTCCACACTCTGTTCAACACTGGATTATACTCATTAAACTCCAAACATAATCCTCCTTCTGGGTTACTCAGCATGACTCGGCATGACAGACGTGTTCTGGGTTACTCAGCATGACTCGGCATGACAGACGTGTTCTGGGTTACTCAGCATGACTCGGCATGACAGACGTGTTCTGGGTTACTCAGCATGACTCGGCATGACAGACGTGTTCTGGGTTACTCAGCATGACTCGGCATGACAGACGTGTTCTGGGTTACTCAGCATGACTCGGCATGACAGACGTGTTCTGGGTTACTCAACTCAGCATGACTCGGCATGACAGACGTGTTCTGGGTTACTCAGCATGACTCGCATGACAGACGTGTTCTGGGTTACTCAGCATGACTCGGCATGACAGACGTGTTCTGGGTTACTCAGTATGACTCGGCATGACAGACGTGTTCTGGGTTACTCAGCATGACTCGGCATGACAGACGTGTTCTGGGTTACTCAGCATGGCTCGGCATGAACGACGTGTTCTGGGTTACTCAGCATGACTCGGCATGACAGACGTGTTTCTGGGTTACTCAGCATGACTCGGCATGACAGACGTGTTCTGGGGTTACTCAGCATGACTCGGCATGACAGACGTGTTCTGGGGTTACTCAGCATGACTCGGCATGACAGACGTGTTTCTGGGGTTACTCAGCATGACTCGGCATGACAGACGTGTTCGGGGTTACTCAGCATGACTCGGCATGACAGACGTGTTCTGGGTTACTCAGCATGACTCGGCATGACAGACGTGTTCTGGGTTACTCAGCATGACTCGGCATGACAGACGTGTTGAACATTCTGGAAAAGTGTCAGGAGGGAGCAGGAGGCGCACAGTCAAAACATTGTCCAGAGGAAGAGGAGGAGGAGGAGGAGGAGAGAGGAGGAGGAGCCTGAGAGAGGAGGTGGAGCCTGAGAGAGGAGGAGGAGGAGGAGGAGGAGGAGGAAGAGGAGGAGGAGGTAGAGGAGGAGGAGGAGGAGGAAGAGGAGGTAGAGTAGGAGGTAGAGGAGAGTGGAGGAGAAGGAGGAGAAGGAGAGAGGAGGAGGAGGAGGAGCCTGAGATAGGAGGAGGAAGAGGAGGAGGAGGAGGAGGAGGAGGAGGGGGGCGGAGGAGGAGGAGCCTGTGAGAGGAGGAGGAGGAGGAGGAGGAGGAGGAGCCTGAGAGAGGAGGAGGAAGAGGATGAGGAGGCGGAGGGGAGGAGGAGGAGGGGGAGGAGGAGGGGAGAGAGGAGGAGGAGGAGCCTGAGAGAGGAGGAGGAGCCTGAGAGAGGAGGTGGAGCCTGAGAGAGGAGGAGGAGGAGGAGGAGGAGGAAGAAGAGGAGGAGGAGGTAGAGGAGGTAGAGGAGGAGGTAGAGGAGAGTGGAGGAGAAGGAGGAGAAGGAGAGAGGAGGAGGAGGAGGAGCCTGAGATAGGAGGAGGAAGAGGAGGAGGAGGAGGAGAAGGAGGAGGGGGGGGGAGGAGGAGGAGCCTGTGAGAGGAGGAGGAAGAGGAGGAGGAGGAGGAGGAGGAGGAGGAGGAGGAGCCTGAGAGAGGAGGAGGAAGAGGATGAGGAGGAGGAGGCGGAGGAGGAGGAGAGAGGAGGAGGAGGAGGAGGAGGAGGAGGAGGAGGAGGAGGAAGAGAGAGGAGGAGGAGGAGGAGGAGGAGGAGGAGGAGCCTAAGAGAGGAGCCTGAGGAGGATGATATTTGATATTTCCGTTTATTTTGTATTTTTATTTTCAAACATAAAAAAACATTTTAGAATAAGGCTGTAATGTAACAAAATGTGGAAAAAGTCAAGGGGTCTGAATACTTTCCCAATACACTGTATATAGGATAGGCCTAGACTGGAATACAGTCTGAGGTGGGTAAAACAGTATGTAAACATTATTAAAGTGACCAGTGTTCAAGAACCAACAGTCAGCAGTACTGATCAAAATGGCTGCTCTCGGATGACAATACTTGTCCTGTATATCTGTCATTATGATAACAAACCACGCATTTAGTTCGTCAGCCATTACGCATCCATCCAGTGCATTACAAACTGGCTACAAAATAAATATTATGTTGACATACTAACTGTTCTTTTTCATTTTGGCAATACTTATAAATGAAATGCACTCGCATATCTGACGGTTGCTTCAACATGTGCCTCGGGAAATGTTTGAACGCCTTTCCTTTGAATGACACTACAGCAATACTATCATTTCCCCCCTGTTCAAGTACGCATGGACAGCATACTGCATCTCTATAAAAATAACTATTTTGCACTATGGCCTATTTATTGCCTTACCTCCATAACTTACTACATTCGCACACACTGTATATAGATTTTCTGTTGTATTTTTCGACTTTATGTTTTGTTTTACCCCATATGTAACTCTGTGTTGTTGTTGTTTTTATCACACTGCTTTGCTTTATCTTGGCCAGGTCGCAGTTGTAAATGAGAACTTGTTCTCAACTGGCTTACCTGGTTAAATAAAGGTGGGAAGAAGAAATAAAAAAATAAAATGCATAAACCGAGGAGGGCTGGCCAGGTAGGTAGACAGCATTAGTTGCAGCCTAGTCAGTGAGGATTTGGCCAAGGCCTAGTGTTGGACTCCTGCCAGGTCCTTAAACACTAAAATCCTGCACAGAGAACATTGCATTTTAGACAGTCGGTCACAAAACTGCACAGTGGACACGAGCACCTCACAGAACTGCCACAAAGTAGGCTAGTGGGGGCTACTATTTCTCTGTGTTGTTAGAATGGCAGCTTGGTATCTGCTGTTTCTCTGTGTTGTTAGAATGGCAGCTTGGTATCTACTGTTTCTCTGTGTTGTTAGAATGGCAGCTTGGTATCTGCTGTTTCTCTGTGTTGTTAGAATGGCAGCTTGGTATCTACTGTTTCTCTGTGTTGTTAGAATGGCAGCTTGGTATCTACTGTTTCTCTGTGTTGTTAGAATGGCAGCATGGTATTTTCTTTCATTGGATAGAGCAGTTAGACCTTATGAGAAGATATTGTACAAAACTCTCACAAAAACACCTATTTCCTCTCATAAACCTAGAGACCTTTGATGTATCTTAACATGACATTTCACTTTAAGTGGAAGATCTCGTTCTTAAATCTATCTAGGCCACAAATGTCCCCACTGACCGGGTAATGGCTTCTCATCAAGCCCAGGAAAACAAACTATACTGTCACAAAACACACAACCCAAAATGTATCTGCCTAAACAACCCAGAAAATGCTTTGTTAAGAAGAAAAAAGACTGATCGTTTTCTCAGCGTCTCCTCAGTTTGTTTGTTTTCCTGTGTTTCGCCACGGGCTCACGGACACTAAGCCGCGGCCCCCAGGGACAATTCCGGGGTTTCTGAACCCAGAACGTGTAATCAGGCAGCCACTGACGGAAGCTAAAATAATCTCTGCACGGAATCTGATTGGATGAGGTAATCCAGGAGGTTAATACTGTAAGGTTAATGTCCCCCCCCCCCCCCCCCCCCCCTCCTCCGTTCCTCCTCCACCCACAATCTCTCCTCCAACCCTCCTACACTTTCCCCTCTTTAAAGAAAACAGAGGCACAGGGTTCATGGCTTAGGTCAGGTTCCCCATGGTAGTCCCTGCTACTACCCAGGACCTAACCATAACCCCTCCTATCCCCCCCTGCTACTACCCAGGACCTAACCATAACCCCTCCTATCCCCCCTGCTACTACCCAGGACCTAACCATAACCCCTCCTATCCCCCCCCTGCTACTACACCAGGACCTAACCATAACCCCTCCTATCCCCCCCTGGCTACTACCCAGGACCTAACCAATAACCCCTCCTATCCCCCCCCATGCTACTACCCAGAACCTAACCATAAACCCCTCCTATCCCCCATGCTCCTACCCAGGACCTAACCAGAACCCCTCCTACCCCCCCCCCCCCCCCCCCCCCCCCCCCTGCTACGACCCAGGAACCTAACCATAACCCCTTCCTATCCCCTTGCTACTACCCAGGGACCATAACCACCATAACCCCTCCTACCCCCCCCCCCCCCCCCCCCCTGCTACTACCCAGGACATAAACATAACCCCTCCTTCCCCACCTTGCTACTTACCAGGACCTAACCATAACCCCTCACTAATCCCCCCTGCTACTACCCAGGGACCTAACCATTAACCCTCCCTATCCCCCCCTGCTACTACCCAGGACCTAACCATAACCCCCTCCTATCCCCCCCTGCTACTACCCCAGGACCTAACCATAACCCCTCCTATCCCCCCCCCTGCTACTACCCAGGACCTAACCATAAACCCCCTCCTATCCCCCCCCTGCTACTACCCAGGACCTAACCATAACCCCTCCTATCCCCACCCCTGCTACTACCCAGGACCTAACCATAACCCCTCCTACCCCCCCACCCCCCTGCTACTACCAGGACCTAACCATAACCCCTCCTATCCCCCCTGCTACTACCCAGGGACCTAACCATAACCCCCTCTATCCCACCCGCTGCTACTACCCAGGACCTAACCATAAACCCTTCCTATCCCCCCCTGCTACTACCCAGGACCTAACCATAACCCCTCCTATCCCCCCCCTGCTACTACCCAGGGACCTAACCATAACCCCTCCCATCTCCCCCCCCGCCCTGCTACTACCCAGGGACCTAACCATAACCCCTCCTATCCCCCCCCCTGCTACTACCCAGGACCTAACCATATAACCCCTCCTATCCCCCCCCCCCTTGCTACTACCCAGGACCTAACCATAACCCCCTCCTACCCCCCCCCCCCCTGCTACTTACCCCAGGACCTAACCATAACCCCCTCCTATCCCCCCCCTGCTACTACCCCAGGACCTAACCATAACCCCTCCTATCCCCCCCCTGCTTCTACCCAGGACCTAACCATAACCCCTCCTATCCCCCCCCCTGCTACTACCCAGGACCTAACCATAAACCCCTCCTATCCCCCCCCTGCTACTACCCAGGACCTAACCATAACACCCTCCTATCCCCCCCCTGCTACTACCCAGGACCTAACCATAACCCCTCCTATCCCCCTGCTACTACCCAGGACCTAACCATAACCCCTCCTACCCCCCCCCCCCCCCCCCCCCCTGCTACTACCCAGGACCTAAACCATAACCCCTCCTATCCCCTGCTACTACCCAGGACCTAACCATAACCCCCTCCTACCCCCCCCCCCCCCCCCTGCTACTACCCAGGACCTAACCATAACCCCTCCTATCCCCCCTGCTACTACCCAGGACCTAACCATAACCCCTCCTACCCCCCCTGCTACTACCCAGGACCTAACCATAACCCCTCCTACCCCCCCTGCTACTACCCAGGACCTAACCATAACCCCTCCTATCCCCCCCTGCTACTACCCAGGACCTAACCATAACCATAACCCCTCCTATCCCCCCCCCCCCCCCCCCCCCCATGCTACTACCCAGGACCTAACCATAACCCCTCCCAGTTTTCTGCTTCTTAGTGCTTCTTTGTGAAATACAACCGAGGACACAGCAGTACGGTAAGTATGATTACGGTTGACATAGAGCACATGGCTGTTACCTACCCTCCTCCTTCCTTCCTCCCTCCCCAACATCCCTCTCTCCCTCTCCCTGGTCTCTGTGAGCAGTGATGGTCTCCCTCTCTCCCTCTCCCTGGTCTCTATGAGCAGTGATGGTCTCCCTCTCTCCCTCTCCCTGGTCTCTGTGAGCAGCGATGGTCTCCCTCTCTCCCTCTCCCTGGTCTCTATGAGCAGTGATGGTCTCCCTCTCTCCCTCTCCCTGGTCTCTCTGAGCAGCGATGGTCTCCCTCTCTACCTCTCACTGGTCTCTGTGAGCAGCAATGGTCTCCCTCCCTTCCTTCCTCCCTCCTAGCTTTGGGCCACAACTTCAGGAGTCTGTGTATTGGTTGGACTCCCTGAGTTGTGCATCATTCTGGTGGTTGGCGATGGAAAATAACCATACCACTATATAGCCAGTTTCACCAACAAAAAATATCCTGTCCAGAGAAGCATATGTATAACCTCTAGAAACTCTACTTACTAGACGTAAAGTGAAATGTGTCCCTCGCTATCAAATAAACGTCGGAATCCAACTTTTGTCCGAACCGCACCATATGAATAAAGCTACCTCCCTCTCTCCCTCCCTCTTGCTAGTCTCTGTGAGCAGCGATGGTCCCCCCCCTCTCTCCATCTCTCTCTCTGTTCTCCGTGAGACCAATCAGCAGCAGTAGTGTGGTAGGTCAGGCTTGACTCACTTTCCGTCGGCCAGGTTGAGAGAGCGGAACAGGGGGTAGTCCTCAGGGGCGGGCTTGCCGCTCTGGTCCTCATACAGGAAGACCGGTGAGCGTCCCACCTCCACCCCCAGCTGCTGCACACCCTGCTCACTGTAGACAGACAGCAGGAAGGACTGGAGGCCGGCCTTGGGCCTGAGCGTGGTCAGGATGGAGAAGTCTTCAGGGAACTCACCTCCTGGAGAACAGAGGTTGCGTTAGAAATGCATGCATACAGTAACACACCTCCCACACAATGCACAGAACACAGGTTAGATCAGCTTAGAAATACAGGGAACACACTATGTGACTGATTCAATCATAAGATGTGTATTATTGAGTAACAAAAAAAAAAAGCATATCACAGGTGAGGAGTCTTCGATTCAGTTACCCTTTACACATACAACTTCTTGTAGACACACATTGCTTTTATGTTGTTTTTTTTTGAGTAAGGTCTCATTTGTTCGGCAACTACCCCAGGTTTATAGTCTTTCAAGCATCCAGATAGACCTGAGCTAATCATCTAATTCTTTTTTAATTTCAGTGGGAATCGAACCAACAACCCTGGCGTTGCAAGCGCCATGCTCTACCAACTGAGCTACACAGGACCTGAGCTAATCATCTACTACTTTATTCATGTACATATATTTCCAGGCTTGAGGACAATTGTATACGTTTTAGGGCAATGATATTGAACGTGTAAAATCTCACGTATTTAGAGTACAATTTTCCCTTAGGAAGAGACAAATTGGAAGGCAACCAATGTCTGCACATTAAAAATTTATTTTTGGACACTTTTGCTGAGTTTATTGCACACAAACAATTCTCCTTTAGCGATTTGAAAGGTTGCGCCAAAGAGGAATAAACTTAATAAAAATATCCTACAAAACTTTAAGAGGACATTATGACATTAGTTACTCCAACTGAACAGATCTATCAATGAGTCATACATGGGTTTAACACCCACATGAAATAAATCATCATTTTACAGGCTCACATAAAGCACCTGAAACACCTAATCCAGACTCATAATAATAGTTTATTATTTCTACATGACTACCATTGAGTTCATTTTTTTTCATTCCACTCAACCCTGCCCTACACTGTAAGCTTGACAATCACTAGTATCCCCCTGCAAGAACAGACTCTATAAGTACTGACTCTACAAGTACAGACTCTACAAGTATATACTCTACAAGTATATACTCTACAAGTACAGACTCTACAAGTATATACTCTACAAGTATAGACTCTACAAGTATAGACTCTACAAGTACAGACTCTCAAGTATAGACTCTACAAGTATATACTCTACAAGTACAGACTCTACAAGTATAGACTCTACAAGTATAGACTCTACAAGTATAGACTCTACAAGTACAGACTCTCAAGTATAGACTCTACAAGTACAGACTCTACAAGTATATACTCTACAAGTACAGACTCTACAAGTATAGACTCTACAAGTATAGACTCTACAAGTATAGACTCTACAAGTACAGACTCTCAAGTATAGACTCTACAAGTACAGACTCTACAAGTATATACTCTACAAGTATATACTCTACAAGTACAGACTCTCAAGTGTAGACTCTACAAGTATAGACTCTACAAGTACAGACTCTACAAGTTTAGACTCTACAAGTACAGACTCTACAATTACAGACTCTACAAGTACAGACTCTACATTGTTGCTGATCTGTTGGTAGGAACCTTGATAAGTGACTCCCTTACATATTGTATACAATTTTACACACACACACACACACACACACACACACACACACACACACACACACACACACACACACACACACACACACACACACACACACACACACACACACACACACACACACTGGTCAATGGTCTATAAATCCATTAACCAAACAGAAGCAGAGAAAGTAGATGTAGAATCTTAATTTGATCACCCTGCTGCAGAAGAATTGCCATGCAGGAAATAGAGAACATGTAGTATATTTGAGGTTTAAAAATACTTTTGAAGTTTGTAATTTCCACTTTGAACTTTCAGACTTCAATTTCCCCTCACCAAAAATGTATCAGCCCCTACAAAAATGTAAATGAATTATAATTAACATATTCATTCAAATGTCCTGTTGTTGCTGTAACAAACTGGCTCAAATTAAGATCCCACTTCTGTACAGAACACCAACTTTGCTGTGCTTCAAACTGCACAATAACCTGCACTGTGCTTTAGTTACACTAGCTAGTTCTCTGAGCCAGATTCTCTCTCCCTCTGGGGTTGGTACAATACAAATACTCTGAGGTAGGAATACAGCACTGCCACACAATCAGATCAGGGATGGCATGTCCTGTCAAAAGCCTTGGCAAGACCAACAAAATACACTTTTAAACATCGCTCCCTTCCGCGCTGCACAGCCAGGATGTGGGGAAGGACAGAGAGAGTTTGGAGGGGAATGGAGGGATGGGGGGAGACAGGACTCGTTTTACCTGGGAAAAGCTGCTTGGTGGGGGCACTGATCTGGGCCTGCTTTCCAACTCTGTAGGCTGTGTCTGGCTTAGATGCCCTTCGGTTTGTGCAAAATCCTGATGTTTTCCTAACTCCTTCGGGGGAATTGTGAAATTCTAGTACTTTAAGCACGTCCACTGGTTCAGCTGTTGGAGAGAGAGAGAGAAGACATAACATGAGTTATAATCTGAGAAGAACTTCACAATGCACCTGAACCTTTGTTTCAACAGTTAGAATGTCAAGCAACCACAATCTATTGCATTTACACAAAACGTATGTCACGTCATACCAAACCTCTGTTTAGTCCATGAACATGGCTTTATAGCATTCAAAAGAAAGCACATTTTAATCCAGTAAACCATCTGTAAAGGGACTTGTCAAATTACCGAATATCTTGCTCTTTTAATATGAAACCATATTTGTCAACAGAATATTCCCATTCTGGTGATAACCTAATGAGGAAAGACATAAAATAATTAAACATAGACAGAAGCATTGGCCCATACGTCAGACGCAGCATAAAACATGGAAGAAATCACTGTCTCCCCTGGCCACATATTCCCCTGTCTCCCCTGGATATATATTCCCCTGTCTCCCCTGGCCACATATTCCCCTGTCTCCCCTGGCCACATATTCCCCTGTCTCCCCTGGCCACATATTCCCCTGTCTCCCCTGGCCACATATTCCCCTGTCTCCCCTGGAAACATATTCCCCTGTCTCCCCTGGCTACATATTCCCCTGTCTCCCCTGGATACATATTCCCCTGTCTCCCCTGGCCACATATTCCCCTGTCTCCCCTGGATATATAATCCCCTGTCTCCCCTGGCCACATATCCCCCTGTCTCCCCTGGATACATGTTCCCCTGTCTCCCCTGGCCACATATTCCCCTGTCTCCCCTGGATACATATTCCCCTGTCTCCCCTGGCTACATATTCCCCTGTCTCCCCTGGCCACATATTCCCCTGTCTCCCCTGGAAACATATTCCCCTGTCTCCCCTGGCTACATATTCCCCTGTCTCCCCTGGATACATATTCCCCTGTCTCCCCTGGATACATATTCCCCTGTCTCCCCTGGATACATATTCCCCTGTCTCCCCTGGCCACATATTCCCCTGTCTCCCTGGCCACATATTCCCCTGTCTCCCCTGGCCACATATTCCCCTGTCTCCTGGCAATTTCTCCTGTCTCCCCTTGGCCACATATTCCCCTGTCTCCCCTTGATACATATTCCCCTGTCTCCCCTGGATACATATTCCCCTGTCTCCCCTGGCTACATATTCCCCTGTCTCCCCTGGCTACATATTCCCCTGTCTCCCCTGGCCACATATTCCCCTGTCTCCCCTGGCCACATATTCCCCTGTCTCCCCTGGATACATATTCCCCTGTCTCCCCTGGATACATATCCCCCTGTCTCCCCTGGATACATATTCCCCTGTCTCCCCTGGCTACATATTCCCCTGTCTCCCCTGGCCACATATTCCCCTGTCTCCCCTGGATACATATTCCCCTGTCTCCCCTGGCCACATATTCCCCTGTCTCCCCTGGCTACATATTCCCCTGTCTCCCCTGGCTACATATTCCCCTGTCTCCCCTGGCCACATATCCCCCTGTCTCCCCTGGATACATATTCCCCTGTCTCCCCTGGATACATATTCCCCTGTCTCCCCTGGCCACATATTCCCTGTCTCCCTGGATTATATTCCCCTGTCTCCCCTGGCCACATATTCCCCTGTCTCCCCTGGATACATATTCCACTGTCTCCCCTGGCTACATATTCCCCTGTCTCCCCTGGATACATATTCCCCTGTCTCCCCTGGCCACATATTCCCCTGTCTCCCCTGGCCACATATTCCCCTGTCTCCCCTGGCCACATATTCCCCTGTCTCCCCTGGAAACATATTCCCCTGTCTCCCCTGGATACATATTCCCCTGTCTCCCCTGGCCACATATTCCCCTGTCTCCCCTGGCTACATATTCCCCTGTCTCCCCTGGCTACATATTCCCCTGTCTCCCCTGGCTACATATTCCCCTGTCTCCCCTGGATATATATTCCCCTGTCTCCCCTGGCTACATATTCCCCTGTCTCCCCTGGCTACATATTCCCCTGTCTCCCCTGGCTACATATTCCCCTGTCTCCCCTGGATACATATTCCCCCTGTCTCCCCTGGATACATATCCCCCTGTCTCCCCTGCGATACATATTCCCCCTGTCTCCACTGGATACATATTCCCCTGTCTCCCCTGGCCCATTTTCCCCTGTCTCCCCTGGAAAACATATTCCCCTGTCTCCCCTGGATACATATCCCCTGTCTCCCCTGGATACATATTCCCCTGTTCTCCCCTGGATACATATCCCCCTGTCTCCCCTGGCTACATATTCCCCTGTCTCCCCTGGATACATATCCCCCTGTCTCCCTGGATACATATCCCCCTGTCTCCCCTGGATACATATCCCCTGTCTCCCCCTGGACACATATTCCCATGTCTCCCCTGGCCCCATATTCCCCTGTCTCCCCTGGCCACATATTCCCTGTCTCCCCTGGATACATATTCCCCCTGGTCTAACCTGGCCACCATATGTCCCCTGTCTCCCCTGGCCACATATTCCCCCTGTCTCCCCTTGATACATATTCCCCTGTCTCCCCTGGATACATATTCCCCTGTCTCCCCTGGATACATATTCCCCTGTCTCCCCTGGATACATATTCCCCTGTCTCCCCTGGATACATATTCCCCTGTCTCCCCTGGATACATATTCCCCTGTCTCCCCTGGGATACATATTCCCCTGTCTCCCCTGGATACATATTCCCCTGTCTCCCCTGGATACATATTCCCCCTGTCTCCCCTGGATACATATTCCCTGTCTCCCTGGATACATATTCCCCGTCTCCCCTGGATACATATTCCCCTGTCTCCCCTGGCCACATATTCCCCTGTCTCCCCTGGCCACATATTCCCCTGTCTCCCCTGGAAACATATTCCCCTGTCTCCCCTGGAACATATTCCCCTGTCTCCCCTGGCCACATATTCCCCTGTCCTCCCCTGGCTATATATTCCCCTGTCTCCCCTGGCTATATATTCCCCTGTCTCCCCTGGCTACATATTCCCCTGTCTCCCCTGGATAACATATTCCCCTGTCTTCCCTGGCCCACATATTCCCCTGTCTCCCCTGGATACATATTCCCCTGTCTCCCCTGGCCACATATCTCCCTGTCTCCCCCTGGCCACATATTCTCCTGTCTCCCCTGGAAACATATTCCCCTGTCTCCCCCTGGATACATATCCCCCTGTCTCCACTGGCCACATATTCCCCTGTCTCCCCTGGCCACATATTCCCCTGTCTCCCCTGTCTACATATTCCCCTGTCTCCCCTGGATACATATTCCCCTGTCTCCCCTGGCCACATATTCCCCTGTCTCCCCTGGCCACATATTCCCCTGTCTCCCCTGGCCACATATTCCCCTGTCTCCCCTGGAAACATATTCCCCTGTCTCCCCTGGCTACATATTCCCCTGTCTCCCCTGGATACATATTCCCCTGTCTCCCCTGGCCACATATTCCCCTGTCTCCCCTGGCCACATATTCCCCTGTCTCCCCTGGCCACATATTCCCCTGTCTCCCCTGGCCACATATTCCCCCTGTCTCCCCTGGATACATATTCCCCTGTCTCCCCTGGATACATATTCCCCCCTGTCTCCCCCTGGCCACATATTCCCCTGTCTCCCCTGGCCACATATTCCCCTGTCTCCCCTGGGCTACATATTCCCCTGTCTCCCCTGGCTACATATTCCCCTGTCCTCCCCTGGCCACATATTCCCCTGTCTCCCCTGGATACATATTCCCCTGTCTCCCCTGGCTACATATTCCCCTGTCTCCCCTGGCTACATATTCCCCTGTCTCCCCTGGCTACATATTCCCCTGTCTCCCCTGGCCACATATTCCCCTGTCTCCCCTGGCCACATATTCCCCTGTCTCCCCTGGCCACATATTCCCCTGTCTCCCCTGGCTACATATTCCCTGTCCTCCCCTGGCCACATATTCCCCTGTCTCCCTGGATACATATTCCCCTGTCTCCCCTGGCCACATATTCCCCTGTCTCCCCTGGCCACATATTCCCCTGTCTCCCTGGCTACATATTCCCCTGTCTCCCCTGGCTACATATTCCCCCTGTCTCCCCTGGCCACATATTCCCCCTGTCTCCCCTGGATACATATTCCCCTGTCTCCCCTGGCCACATATTCCCCTGTCTCCCCTGGATACATATTCCCCTGTCTCCCCTGGATACATATTCCCCTGTCTCCCCTGGCCACATATTCCCCTGTCTCCCCTGGATATATATTCCCCTGTCTCCCCTGGCTACATATTCCCCTGTCTCCCCTGGATACATATTCCCCTGTCTCCCCTGGCCACATATTCCCCTGTCTCCCCTGGCCACATAATCCCCTGTCTCCCCTGGCCACATATAATTTCCTGTCTCCCCTGGAAACATATTCCCCTGTCTCCCCTGGATACATATTCCCCTGTCTCCCCTGGATACATATTCCCCTGTCTCCCCTGGATACATATTCCCCTGTCTCCCCTGGATACATATCCCCCTGTCTCCCCTGGCAACATATTCCCCTGTCTCCCCTGGCCACATATTCTCCTGTCTCCCCTGGAAACATATTCCCCTGTCTCCCCTGGATACATATTCCCCTGTCTCCCCTGGCCACATATTCCCCTGTCTCCCCTGGCCACATATTCTCCTGTCTCCCCTGGATACATATTCCCCTGTCTCCCCTGGCCACATATTCCCCTGTCTCCCCTGGATACATATTCCCCTGTCTCCCCTGGCCACATATTCCCCTGTCTCCCCTGGCCACATATTCCCCTGTCTCCCCTGGCCACATATTCTCCTGTCTCCCCTGGATACATATTCCCCTGTCTCCCCTGGATACATATTCCCCTGTCTCCCCTGGATATATATTCCCCTGTCTCCCCTGGCCACATATTCCCCTGTCTCCCCTGGATACATATTCTCCCTGTCTCCCCTGGATACATATTCCCCTGTCTCCCCATGGCCACATATTCCCCTGTCTCCCCTGGCCACATATTCCCCCTGTCTCCCTGGCCAACATATTCCCCTGTCTCCCCTGGCCACATATTCCCCTGTCTCCCCCTGGCTACATATTCCCCTGTCTCCCCTGGCTACATATTCCCCTGTCTCCCCTGGCTACATATTCCCCCTGTCTCCCCTGGCCACATGTTCCCCTGTCTCCCCTGGCCACATATTCCCCTGTCTCCCCTGGATATATATTCCCCTGTCTCCCCTGGCCACATGTTCCCCTGTCTCCCCTGGCCACATATTCCCCTGTCTCCCCTGGCTACATATCTCCATAGTGCCAGGGTTAGACCTCATCTACAGTACCATAGTCTTCATCTACATTAGTGGTCCTATGTAGCTCAGCTGGTAGCGCACGGCGCTTGTAACGCCAAGGTAGTGGGTTCGATCCCTGGGACCACCCATACACAAAAATAAATAAACACGTTTGGTGTTCGCCAAAAGGCATGTGGGAGACTCCCCAAACATATGGAAGAAGGTACTCTGGTTAAATGAGACTAAAAATTGAGCTTTTTGGCCATCAAGGAAAATGTCTGGCACAAACCCAACACCTC